TAGTGAGATAACACATTAAATCTTAATGTAATGTACAGACTTATTTTCTAATTATCCTAAAAATCAACAAATCGAACAACTTTTCATGGGACTTAATATAATCAGAACAAAAGCTAAAGTTCTCACACAAACGTAGTGGAGTCAATACAAACCATCCGCTTCGAGTGAAGTCAGTGGAAATATAAAGTAACATAAACTGTAAATGTTTCAGTATTTATTTATTTACATTTTTCTTGAGTACTAATTATATTAATTTCCCTTTGGCATCAATGAAGTCATACTTGCTGTATACAGTTACATTAACTGGTGAGTATAACACACAATAACCTGGGAATATGCTGCAATATACAAAGATTTGTCTCCATTAGAGAAAAATCACAAACCACATTTCAACACATTGGAGATGTTTCACAGCCTCGTGTAAGAGAAACAGGAAACACATGTTGGCAGCAACAATGTGCACAAACACTTCATCTCATGTGAAAAGCCTTCTTTAGAGCCCAGCCACAGGTTTCTCCTTTTCCAGTAAAGATTAGACATTATAGCACACATGACATAGTGGTGATAAAAGATTGATTCAATACAAACTGGCAGGAAAAATAACTAAAAACACCAACAGTCAGTATAAGAGTGTAATTAAAAAGCAAGAAGTTACAAAGCAGACATCTCGACATTCTGAGATATTTGTTTTCTACAGTGCGTCTCACAGTTTAGGCTCCAACTACAGGGTGAAACAGCACAAGTTCAACTCCACCAGTAAGAATTATTTCAGAGATTCTCAAATAACAAATATAACATTTAAAAGATCTCATCACCATTTGATCAGATCAGCCCCTGAAACATAAAACAAAATTAATGACATTTAGTCACTTCAAATATTCAGATTACAGATCAGTTCCACTGCAGCAGGGAAAGAAACGTTGTGAAGCGATGTTTTAATAATGTCCACAAAACAGCTGCTTTTAAGCTCTTAAGGTTTTCTTTTCACACTGCTGCTGCTTCCTGCAGACGCTCCGTTCCTGTCCTTCACTAGCTCCTCCCGAGTCATGGGCTCGATGATGGCGCCCAGCTTGGTGACGACCTTGGGCTTGGTGACCTTTTTGACAGTGCGCTCTGTGTTCCAGGTGCGGCCGAGCGCAGAGCGGATGGTGTTCTCAAAGACCGAGGGGCTCTCAAAGGGAAAGGGCAGCGCGTTGACCTGGTGCAGCCTGATGGAGCTGCTCCTCTTCTCAGAGATCACAACACCTGGTAGATGCTGGTCTTTCCTGGGTGTGGGTGGGGCCATCTTTCTCCTGAACTTCCTGCGTTTTCTGCATGATGGCTGCAGTCCTCCCCCTCCCCACTCGCCCCACCCAGGTAGTGTCAGGTCTACCGCCTTAGGCTTCCCTGCATCCTCTTGCTTCCTCTTTTCCTTCAGAAAGTCAGAGATGATGTCATCTCCAGCGAAGGCCTCTTTAATGAGCCCTCTCTGGTCCAGCGTTTCCTCCGAGTCCTCTGCATCCTCGATGGTGGGAGCAAAGGGAACCTGGAGGAGCTGTGCGCCCTTGGTGAGAACTTGTTTCAGCTCGATCCCTTTCCTCCTCTTCCTGCTTTTGCCCGTCTTGTGTGTGTTTTCTGTGGCTGGAGGATGCTGCGGAACAACAGGTCCTTCATCTGTGGCTTCCTCCTCCTCCTCTGCCTCCTTGTCCTGTGTGAGAAGCTCTTCATCGTCTTGACACCTGAGTTTGAGCTCCTTTTCCAGCTCAGCTGCTGTGTCAGCCTCTCCACAGCCCTCTGCTATTCCTTTGAAAAGGCTTGTGAACTCTGAAAGCTCTTCTTCCTCTTTGTCAGAAGCATCTTTGTTTTCCTCCTCCTCCTCCTCTTCCTCCTCCATAAGCATTACAGCTGCGTCAGCTTCCTGAGCTTGACGCCGTTTCCTCCTGCTATCAAATTCTCTGAGCAGCACCTCTTCTTCTGTCTCCTCCACCTCCTCTTCCTCAGCTACATCTTCCTCAGCTCTAATAGTCACAGCATTACTTGTCTCCTTCTCCACGCAGTCTTGAGAGAGCTTTCCAGTCATCCAAGGATTTGAAAAATCCAGTCCTTGCTCTGCATCATTCACAAAGTCAGGCACCACGTCTGCGTTACCTTCCTCCTCCATCGTCTCCTCCTCTTCCTTGTTCAGTGAGGTCACCAACTTCTGGGTCAGGTCTTTGTTCACTTCCAGCTGCTGCTGAATAGCTTTGCGGGCACCTTCATCATATTTTGCCATGATGGCCTTGGACCTGGCCCACTTACTGCTGTTCTGGTGCTTCAGCGACATCCTCTCCTGCATCCTCGCCGTCTCCATCTTATTCAGCTCCTCCAGCGCAGCAGCCGGGTCTCTCTTCACCATCTCATCAAACTGCTTATGGAAATCCTTGGATTTGGCCTTGTTCAGCACTTTGTGGTATTTCTTGCTCTTGATCTTCTTTTGCCTCCTCGCCTTGGCCTCGTAGTAGGACTGAAGAGCCCGGGCCTTCTGCAGCTCTGCACGCCGTACCTTAGCTTCCTCCAGGCTCATCGCTTTCATGGAGGCCTCCTCAGTGGGAGTAAGGATGGGGTCGTTGATAGGCTGCTTGTTGGCAGACAGGAGAGTGAAGACTTCTTGCTCAAGCGGAGTCTGAGCCTTCCAGTCCATCACCACCCTCTCAATGGGCTTGGGGCCTGAATGCTCCTGGTTGAGAGGGAAGACCAGCTGCTCAGCCCTCTCATTCTGTCTGATGACGCTCTTCCAGTGGCTCACCTCTTTGGAAACCTTCTGAAAAGCCAGATCTCTCCTTATCCTCTCGCTCTCCTGCTTGCTTAGCGGGCACTCTATGGTCTTTCTGCTTTGCTCCAAATTCTTCAGCCGCTTCTTGCTCTTGCCCGAGAGTCCAGGAGTCGTCTTCATGGACCCTATCAAGTCCGACAAATCGACTTTGTCGCCCTCGCCCTCTGCGTTGACCGTAAATTCGGACATATGCACGGCCGCCTCGGACCTCTCCCCCAGAGTTTTCTTCCTCTTACCACTGAGAGTGCCGATAGCCTCCAGCAGCTTTTGGCGTTTTCGTTCATCGTACCCGTCTTCGTCCTCAACAGTAACATCTTCATCAGTCGCATCCTCCTCCTTCTCATCGTCGTACATCACGTCTGGATGCCGCTCGTTGCTCTGCTCCGCACCTCCGGAGCGTGTTTTCTTTTTACTCGCTTTCTTTTTCGAAACTTTAGCCATGCTGAAGCAACAACCGCCGGAGCTCAATGCACTAAACTGGGACGACTGCGTGCCCCACGTGTGCCGTAAAACAACCCGTTGTCGCGAAGCTTGCGACGGTGTTGTTCACTGTCGCAAAATATGCTGGGG